CTTCTCATTTCTAGCATTTCTTGAAGGTAACTATTTTCTTGACTCTTTTTTTAAGGACTAGGGTTTTTGATTAGTATACCTTGATTTTATTTTTTGTTTTGTTTCATATTATTTTTCTCCTAATTCCCTTGATTATCTTCTTTTCTTTTCTTTCCCTAACAGTCAAATTCTACTGTTCTCTCTTTCACTCTTCCTTTTACTCTTTACTACTATTCTGTCTCATCCTCTCTCATAATTATTACATCCTACATGTCTGCATTCTCTTCACCTTTTGAAATAGCAAACCCTTTTTGTAAACATAATATCTGTGACCATGAACCGAAATTTCAAGAAACAATAGATAACTTCTATACCATTTCTGTTTATATTGCCAGCTAACATTGTAGATGCCAAAAAAGGAAATAAATATTTAGTTTAATGCTGAATATTGATTACATTGCTTGTTATTATTATTTGTCTTCCCCTAAGGTATTATAAAACTTCAGGAACACTATAAATTCACAGGGTAGAAGCTCTGCCACATCAGATTCTTATTGATAAATGGGTAGACATACAAAAAGCAAGGGAACAACAACCCATCCCCCCAAAATAAAAATACCTCATTAACAATCCAATGAGATCACAGTGGARGAAATATCAGAGAAGGAATTTAGAAAGTTCATAGTTAAACTGATATGTGAAGTAAAAGATGAAATAAGGAGTGAAATCAGAGAGAAAAATCCAAAAAGTGAAAGATCTCTTCAATAAGGACATAGAAATCCTAAAGAAGAATCAATTGGAAATTCTCAAAATGAAGGAATCAGTAAATCAAATTAAAAACTCAGTGGAGGGGCTGGGGTTGTGGCTCAGCAGTAGAGTGCTTTCCTAGCACATGCAAGGGTGTTGGTTCAATCCTTAGCACCACATAAAAATAAAATAAAGGAATTGTGTCTAACTACAATGAAAACAAAATTTTAATTAAAAAAATCAATGGAAACCATCACTAGCAGACTAGACTACTTAGAAGATAGAGTTTCAGGCAATGAAGAAAAAATATATAATCTGGAAAATAAAGTTGACCATGGAAAAAAGACGCTAAGTGACCATGAACAGAAATTTCAAGAAACATTGGATAACATGAAAAAGGGCATCAAGATTTATCAGAATGGTGAAAGCTTAGAAATAAACCAATGAAGAAATATCACAAAATTTCCCAGACCTTAAGAATGAAATGGAAAATCAAATACAGGARGCTTACAGGACTCCAAACATACAAAATTTCAACAGACCTACATCAAGGTACATCATTATAAAAATGCCCAAATTTTAAAGACTGCTAGAGAAAAACAACAGGTCACATTCAGAGGGAAAACAGTCCAGATATCAGCTGATTTCTCAATCCAGACCCTAAAAGGTAGGAGGCCTTAGAATTACATATACCAAGCCCTCAAAGAAAATGAATGCCAACTAAGAATACTATATCCAGAAAAATTAAGCTTCAGATTTGATGATGAAATAAAAACATTCCAAGATAAACAAAAGTTAAAAAGAATTCACAACTGGAAAGCCTGCACTACAGAACATATTCAATAAAATATTTCATAAAGAAGAAATGAAAAATAAAATTGAAAACTAGAAACGGGAGAAACTACACTAGAAGAGTAGTTAATCAAAGGAGAAATTAATTGAAATTAAAAACCAGAAAWAAAATGGCAGAGAATAAAAATTATTTCTCAATGTTAACATTGAATATAAATGGCCAAAATCCATCAATCAAAAGTCATAGATGGGCTAATTGCATTAAAAAACAAGACCCATCAACATGCTGTCTCTAAGAGACTCACCTCATAGGCAGAGACTAAAGGTAAAAAGGTGGGAAAAAAAACCATATCATTCCCTTGGATTTCGTGAACAAGCAGGGGTTTCTATCCTCATATCAGATAAAGTGGGCTTCAAGCCAAAGTTAATCAGAAAGGACAAAGAAGGTTATTTCATACTGCCTATGGGGATTATACATCAACAAGATATAACAATCATAAATTTTTATGCCCCAAACAGTGGAACATTTATGTACATCAAACAAACCCTTCTCAATTTCAAGAATCAAATAGACCACAACATAGTATTACTGAATGACTTTAACACTCCTCCATCATGACTGGATTGATTGTCCAAACAAAAACTAACCAAAGAAGATATAGAACTAAAAAATACGATTAATAAAATAGACCTAACAGACATATATAGAATATTTCATTCATCAATGAATGAATACACTTTCTTCTCAGCAGGACACAGATCATTTTCTAAAATAGACCACATCTTAGGCCACAAAACAATGCCTAGCAAATAAAAAAAAAAAAAATAGAGATAATACCCTTGGATTCTATCAGATTATAATGGAATGAAATTAGAAATCAATGATATAATAAAAAAAAAATAGTAGCTACTCTAACATCTGGAGACTAAATAATGTGTTACTTAAAGATTAATGCATAGCAGAAGAAATCAGGGATGAAATAAAAAAATACTTAGAGGTAAATGAGAATAGCAACAAAACATAAAAATCTCTGGCACATTATGAAGGTGGTTCTAAGAGGAAAGATCATAGCATTGAGCTCATTCATAAAAAAAAAATTGAAAGTCACCAAATAAATAACCTAACATTATATCTCAAGGCCCTGGAAAAGACCAAATCAACACTAAAAGCAGTAGAAGACAGGAAATAATTAAAATCAGAGACAAAATCAAGGAAATTGAAATCAAAAAATGCAAAA